ATATATTCTTTTAAAGAGAGGCTGTTTGGATTGTGGAAGCCTTTTCGAGATTTAATGTGGTACAATTTGTATGAAAATTTGTATGAAATGTTGTCCAGTGCTTGCAGCTTTTATGTGAGAAGTGTGAGCATCGCAGAGCAAGTGACACATCTCTCACTCCCCACCCCCATCTACTGTAGCTCTATCTATCTATCTATCTATCTATCTATCTATCTATCTATCTATCTATCTATCTATCTATCTATCTATCTGAAACTCATCAAAGCCATTAAAAATCGTCATTTTCTGGTGCTGAATATGCGCGACTGCGTATTTATGAGCTCTGTTGATGTTTACTCGACTGCTGCTTTCGGCTCCCTGCAGCCCGATCATGGCCCAGGAGCAGATAGGCCCCAGCCTGGGGGCCCAGGTATGCTGAATGTGCGCCAGTGGGACATCCGCGACTTGACAGCTGCATGAAGCTTTTCAGCGTTGTAATTTCAGATAATATCCCGAGCGCTCACTCTTCTCAGCAATTTGTATATGAATAACCGAATAATTTTCCCTTTTGTTCCATCTGTGCTACCTCAAATCCAAATAAAGATGCCTTTTAGTATTAAAAGTGGTAGAAAATTACAGGTAATTATCTTTGACGGTAAAAACGCTGTAATCAGCGGGCTACATCAAAAATTACCCTAATTATGTCTGCATTTATGAGAATGGGGGAGAGAGAAAAAAAGCCTCACTTGGATAAAAACCCACAAATTGTCCCAAATATCTCCTTCATATTGAACGCCGCTGCAGCTGGCTGCTTTGTTCAGCATCGATCCCGCGGAGCTTGGCATTTAACGGCCTGCATTAGGACGGAGCGAAGGGAGAAAACATTTTGTCAATACTTCTAATAATTGAGGGTGAAAATGACAAGATAAGCTGGACCTGGAGCAAATGTCTTTCGAGGTGAATGTAGGCAGCGGCGGGTTGAGGGTAAGTTAATTTCCTCTGGTGCTGAGTGCGTTTGATAAATCTATATACTGTGGAGTTTTTCATTCATTGGATTTATTTAAAATGTTTACTCTAGTGAAATGGGCTTTTCAGTGAGCACCGTGTCATTAACTTATGCTCGTGTTGTCTGCTCTGAGCTTGCACACACCAGGGAGACGGGAAATAGGCCCTTTTTTGGACGTGATGTTGGCCCAATATGACGCACAAAAAAGGCCTAGATTAAAATGAATATCTTTTTCTTCTTCCCCCCACCCCCACCCATTTCTTCTTCTTCTTTTTTTTTTGAAATCATGGAACAGCAGGAGTCTGTTTTTGAGTCACCGTTTACTCAATCTGACAAAACATAAAAAGTGTATGTACAACTAAAATCGCAGATTATATTTACAGACAGACAATTTGCTTGGTTTTGCATGTTGGAGAAACAATCAGGGAGGGAAAAAAAATTGAAGGAAGAAAATTTTGAAAAAAAAAGCAGTCCACCATGGCAAAAGAAAAAAAAAGGTTTCTGGGCGCCACAGCAGCGCATAGAGAGTGTGAGCAGTCTTTGTCCAAAGTGGCTAAAATGTCACTGATAATATTTGGTATATTGACGGTTCAGATGGTGACAAGAATGAAAGCATAACAAATGCGAGCCCACTGAACAGCCATGTACGCTAAAAATGGTTAGTTCCCTTGTTTGTGTCATCATCATCACACACCGAGGCTTGGCTGTGTCTCATCCTTCAGCAAAGGAGTGGAAGAGAGAGGGGGCTTTTTTTCGTTGTTGTTGTTGTTGTTGTTGTTGTTGTTGCCTGCTCCTCTCCAGCATCCAGTTTCTGAGCTGACACAAATTGTAGGCTACGTTGGAAACTGCATTGCCGAGATCCGGAGGCCTCTCCAAGACAGGCTCCCTGACCTTGCTTTCGTCGTCAGTCTATCTCTGCATTGAGTCTTGATGTGGGGAGGAATACCAGTGAGAGTAGCCGGGCATGTAGCTGTTGGCCGGCATGTTTACTCCTTTGGATGAGGCCGACACGTCCCAGATTGGGGGGATGCTCGGAGAGCGCGGGGACAGGGACATGGAGCCCGGGATGGGCTCGCTCTCGTGCGGGTTACCGCCTTGCTTCAGCAGCTTCTTGAACTTTGACCTTTTATTCTGAAACCAAATTTTTACCTGCGGGAGAGGACGAGAGGGGCGCGCGCCGTTAGTTAAGGATAAAGATCCCACATGGAGGTCAGTTGTATTTACGCAACATTTCGTCTTTTAATATAATTAATATACAAAATATAGAAGCACACAAGATTAATAAGGTGAGAAATCAAAATACAACGTTTATTAAAATTACCAAACCGATACAGTACATTTTGTTTCTGGAGGCAGTGTTAAAATGTAAAGCAGTGCGCGTTTCTCCTCATACCTGTGTTTGCGTCAGTCCTAGAGAGGCGGCCAGCTCGGCGCGCTCCGGTAAAGCGAGGTACTGTGTTTGCTGGAAACGGTGGTTCAGTGCTTGAAGCTGCAAACTGGAATAAATTGTCCGAGGTTTGCGAATCTTCTTGCCTTTGCCGTTAAAACGAATCTCCCCGTTTTCGATCACTGTCGTCTTCTGCTGCTCTGCAACAAAAACAAGCAAACGTTATTATTATTGTTCAAGCCCACAGGCACGCTGTACGCGTTCATTTGTGTGCAGGAAGCACGCTGAAAAAATATATATAGTTGCGGTAAAGAGTAAATCGAGGGGGGACAAACAATGTGAGAAAAAAACAATGAAAATTCTGGCTGATAAACGCTGACATCTCTCTCTCCCTCGTTGGCTTTAAGCGCCGAGGCAGCCCGCAATCCTCATACGCTGTCATATTTAGGATATTGCTGGTAATGACATGTCAATTAAATGCTAATTACAACATTCAAGGCGTGCGGGCCTAATTTCCACGAGTAGTTGGTGAGGATTGCACGGTCGACATGATCACACCCCGGGCATTTGAAGCAGATTTTGTGGGGGAACCGAGGGGAGTGCTAGGAGGGGACGGCGGAGGAAGAAAAAGAAGGCTGGATCTTGAATTATCCGGTGCCATTTACGCACAATTTTCGCGATCGCCCGCCTACGCTCGAAAGATAATTCCCGAATTTGGAGCGGCCGTGCGGTGATTTGGGCATGACACCACGAGGCTGGCATGGAGAAATGTTCGATCCCCACTGTGGACCACCCGCACTAAAAAAAAGAAAAGAAAAGAAAACGAAGAAGAAGGAGGTATGCTCTAATGGCACTGTCGAGCACGCTGTGGTGCATTTTCCATTTGGCTGGCGAAAAACGCGGGTCTCTTACCTGTGCCGTCTAACCTTGTCTGTCCTCCCATGTTGTTGTGATAGGACGGCAGGTACGGGCTGTGGTGTGGATGGCTCACGTAAGGGTAAGGTAACGACCTGTTGTAGGTGTTGCTCCCGGGGTACGGGGTGTTGTCGTGCTGGTGGTGAGAGTGTGAGCCGGAGTGGAGACAGTGCAGCGGGTAGTGGCCGCTGCCCATCGATGGGGAGCTCTGCTGTGAGTGCGACTGCTGTCCAAACTCCATGAAAGCAGACTTGGACGAGTCCTGAGCCTCCAGACCGTCAGCCATCGTAGTCATGGTCATCATCGAATTTTCTGCCTTGAGAGCACTCACCCCCCTCTCTCTCAAGACCAAATCGGTTTTTTCTCTCTCGCTGTGCTGTTGTCTCTCTCCCCTCTCTCCACCGCGAGCAGATATTGTCCTATTAACACCCGATTTTTCCAGAGGCGTCTTTATTTCCCCCCCTTGTCCTGTGATATTCTCACTCAAAGTGGTGGAAGGTAGGCATAAGTTAAGGGAGAGATTTTAAGGTGGATTCTGTTAAAATTGAGCCCTTGCTTCCAGACTTGATGCAGACACTACAAGTAAAATGGTTTGTCTCCAAAGGGCAGCGCCTCCCGATTGGTCATCCAACCCAACGTCATCACTGCTCTGCGCTTCACGGAGACTTGAGCTGGAGTTAACCCACCTTACCAGCTCCCACCACAACTATGGGGGAAATAATATGTGGTGGGAAAGACGCCTAATTCCTACAGACAAGCCCCACACGTTTAAAAAAAAGGGAGAGAGAAAAAAAACCCTCCGCTCTTTTGGAAACTGCCGAGTCGATTTTGTTTTTTAACCCAAACTCCAAATTACGCGCGACGCGCAACATATAGCGTGCACTTTGATTTAATCTGAAGCGGGCAGTCTTTACGTTTCCCCTATTTACTTTTCTGGCTTTAGGTCCTCATTTGCTGAGGAAGTAATTGCATATAGGAAAGCATCACACAAACACGTGTTCGGGAATAGCTGAATCGATTTCAAACCGAAACTGAATTATTTTACCCTACATTAAAAAAAAAAAATACTATTAACACCAATCTCCTCAAACCAGCAATAATTTTATTTGAAAAAGGATTTTTCAGTCAAATTTATAAAAGAGTAAAGAATAATCCCAGCTGCACTTTGTGGTTCTTTTAAGGTTTTTACATTTTGTGACACTTAAAATATTAATGCCTATAGCGGGAGAGTGACGCGTTTAATGCCAAGGAAACACCTGGAACAGGTGGAGTAGATCTGGAAGTGAGCGAAAGTTTATCTTAGACTTGAATTTTTATTCTTAATTTCATTTAACTTTTTCATTTTTATTTTTTATCTTGACAGCCTATTTGATAAGAAAAACACTTTTTTTGTTGTTTTTTGCAGTGTAGTATTTGCTTTGATGTTTGCCTAATGAGCTGTCCCCCTCTTCAAACCCCACCCTCTTCTGCTCTGAAAGTAACATATATTATAACTGTTCATTTTTTCCCGGGGCTACTGACCATATGATTAAGGATCCTCAGACAATTCAAAATACCGTACATGTGACACATCAAATAACAATATGCCTGAGGTACAATAGGTTATTTTGCAGATAGAAGGGTGGATACCCGGATAAACTGACAGTGTCTTTTATCCCTGTTGCAATATGAGGCCTGATAGGGTCCTCAATATATGTAAATTATACAGTTTGTCTCCAAGGGCTGCCATGTTCGAGTAGCAAATAAGAATAAAATGCTATTTCCGCTTATAATAATGCAATAGGTATTCAAATCATGTTTTGCACCACTTTCAGCATTTTTTTCCACGCAATGTGGCATTTAGCGATTTAACAAAAAAAAAGGCGACGCAAAATAATTATGGTTGCAATCAAGTTACTACGAAAACCTATTTGATTAGCGGCCACACTTTACTCAAATTGCAGCTATAAAATTAAGAACAATTCGCCTGTAATGATTATGGACTGGATTTATTTTGGGAGGGTGGAATAAAAGTGGATATAGCATAAATTATCCCCTAATTATACGCCAGTGTGGCCTCAATTATCCTCTTATCAAAAATGGTTGTCTAAATGCAGCGTTTAGTTTCAATTTTCTCCTTTTCTGTAACAAGAACTTGGTACCTTGCTATTATCGTCAGCTACGGTTGTTATTTACTTTGTGGGATTTAAAAGTGCACAACCCAGCCGGATAATCATTTTACAGCAGCGGAGCAAGGAGAGGAGCACAGAGGCAGGGATGTGTTGCAGCCGAAGGCATCCACATGGATTTGTTTTATTCCTGCAGAGTCCTTTAGATTAAGCGAGTCTGATTCAGATTAATCAGAGTCGCTCTTTTGTCGTCGGGAGGGCTGCAGGTAAGAGCTTCTTTTGCTGACATTGACGAATGATTTTATTGCCTCTTGTAATTCGCTATTTTAAGCAAAGAGTGTGGCCTCGCAGACCTGGAATGAGTCAGCCCACCTTGGTCACCCCTCAGTGATCTAGCATAGTGGCCAATTCCCCTGCCCGTGTTCCACTTGGACACGCAGAGGAGAAACCAGATCCGATAGCTTTTCTAATCGCCTTTGAGTCCTACTACAAACACGAACATGCTTTGCAGTGATGTTAGCCGCTTCCCCGCGGACTTAAAACCCCAGCCTTCGTTATATGAGACATCTTCATTCCCCAGGTTTTGTTGTTGTTGTTGTTGTTTTGTTTTTTTGCAGCATCACAAGCGCGCTACCGTCGGAATTATTAAGTTGCGGGATGACTGTGCGGGTAATGTCAAAGACTCGACGTCCCTGCAGGCGTGTTTCTGTGCACACCGAGATTAAGTGAAGTGGTGAAAGGACGGATTTGCTTGAATGGAGAGAACATGACATACTCGACCTTGGTGTTTTTGAAATGTTTAAGATCTGGGCTTTTTGCACGCGTGCTGACAGCCGTGTCTGATTGCAAACAGCGACCCATATAACATGTAATCAGTGGACTGTTTAAAAAAAACTTTAATTGTACTGTATTACTAAAAAGAACAGAAGCAAAAACAATTATCCTATAAAAATTATATATTTTTAAAATGACACCCTTGAGTCATGCTTCACCTGCTGTATCATGTCTCCGGTTAATCTTGGATTATACAAGTTCATGGCCTTATTCTGGAGAAAAATTATTTTATATTTCAGCTCGACAAAATGTCAATCACAAAATGAGCAGCGTTCAGCTGCAAATCTAGAAATCACTTTGTCCCTAAGTAGATGATTGACCTTCAGCACAATCAATGGCCGTGCTGGTTTAACAGAAGTGGTCTTTATTTCCTGCTGTCTTATAAACGCTGATGAATGACTCTTTAAAATCACTCCAATATCCAAACGCCGGGTCTGTATCAGGCCTGGGATTTCCCCTAACATCCACTGTCTGTGACGGCAGTACATGGAAACTGAGAAGATTTGTACGCTTGCATTTACAGGTGGAACTTAACGGCATGTTGTGGTTAACACAGCCGATAGGACATAACCTAAATTGGTAATATCAGCACGCTTGTGGATAAGGTGATCTATACATGCGTAAATGTGATCTCCCCACCTCTTTCTGAATGCGTGTCACTGCCTGTTTTAGCACCGCGTGTCTTTTTCAGTCTATCTGGCCACACGTGTTAATCGTATCTGAGCGTTAACACAGAGTTCCAACAAGACATAGGTCATAACTGTAAATGAGAGGCTGGGTGTTTGCGGTCGGTCCCACTAACAGCTATTGACTGGCTCCCATGGAAAGCCACTTCTTTGGCTTCCCATGGACTAGGAGCGGTTGAGGACGCTGAGGCAAGTCACTGCAGAAAGACACCGGGAGGCACTTAAACAACATGTCTCCCTTCTCCACAGCGCAAAGCCACTGGCGCTTCACAGACAGCCAGGCGTCGACTGCTCTCCATCTCTGCCGTGCGAAGGGCGGGAAGTGGCAAAAGAGAAGCGCAGATGCATGCCACACACAGCTGTCAGCATAACGTGGTTCATTGTAACTGGATTCACTGGAGCAAACCGCCCTCACACACACACACACACACACACACACACACACACACACACACACACACACACACACACACACACACACACACACACACACACACACACCGCCCGAAAACGATCACCGATCAGTACAGTTCATCCATGTCCAAATGGCGGCTCGACGCTTTTACGCACGCAAATTGCGCACAGCGCACTAATGCAAACTCGCTTACGCCAGGCTTTGATGTGATTTGTAAAAACGTGCAACTACACCGAGAAAAATGAGTGTGGTTTTGCTATAAAGAAAACCAAGCGCTGCCAGGCAGACGACTGTTTACCATAACTTTTGCATCATAAATTAGGATTGCATTATCTCTCGGTTAAATAGCAAAATTGGCACATGCATGGATGGCCCCCAGGTGCAGGCAACGGCCTTCAGATGGACCCATCGTAGTTGAGCTAAATGACCACAAATAAGCACAGGCTTGCATCACTGAGTCTTCACAGCCTCTCGTAGACTAATGTATTTAATTTGGCACGACTGAAGCTGCACTGGACCCACTTAGGGCCCATGTTCTAATTAAGACCGCTTGTTTCTTTTGTCGCCTTCCTATATTGAATGTTTAGGTCCACCTGAGTGATTGCATTGCTTAGTTTCCTGCACCAGTCATATGGTGTTTATATTTGCTCGTTTGCTTCTGAAATGGTGGCAAAATACGAAGGCAAACGAGCTGGTGAAGCGTAACTGGATTAATGAAAACGGCCTCAACGCCACTGAATTTGATAACGCGATGAAAGTAAAATAATGATAATAATAATAATAATAATAATAATAAGGAAGACTGCAGAAGGCTGCTTAGGGCATTTGTTGCGAAGAATTAACAATATAGCAGTTTTTTTTATTTTAGGCTGTTACGCTATAACTCGGCGAGCACACGCCTAACTCACTGTTCCTGTACAAAGGAGTAAATAACAAAGGAGCTACATACAAAAAGTTGATCTGAATTTAATGTTGGTGACAAATAAGACTAGTGAGAACCGGGGGTGCATGTAGTCCCCCCTTTTCCCCCTCTCTCGACTTAATACGCGACATTATTAGGTCTGACAGCACAGTGGTCGGTCTTGAAGGAGAGGATTTGGTCGGTAGATGACAGACAGGAAGGCCAGCAATCATGGGCTTTTTTTCTTTCTTTCCTTTTTTTTTTATCAGAATGTACTGTTCGATGCCGTTTATCCCTGATGATAGAAAATTGCTCTGTTGCCAGGACGCTGCCGCCGAAATAGAGGGCAGGAGCAACATTTCCATTTTCCAGTTTGAAAGCCATTGAAATGAATTAGTAAAAATGAAAAAAAAGAGGGGGAAATGAGAAAGAATCCCCTGATAAACAAAGGGGAGCAAACAAAGATACCATTTTCTTTTGCCGAGAAGCCACCCTCCTCATTTTTCCTTTTTTTTTTCTATAGCAGAGTGAAGGTTTTACTTCAACAGTTGCAAATCACATGCTTGGCTTCTAATGTAGTCCAAGGCCCGGGCCTACTTCAAAGACAATCATTTATTTCCCAACCTTCTGGAATAATCAGAGCGCCTTTTCATCTGTCGTGACAGAGAGGAGAAAGGGGAAAAAAGAATGAAAGACAGAAATTAGTAAAGAAAACTTGACAACGAGGAGCATTAAGCAAACTCCTGAAATGTTTGGCCATTAGGCACAAATGAAGATCAAACTTTACAGAAAAAAAGATGCAGATTAAAGAGCGAAATATAATTATATACACGTTCCTTAAATTGGTAGCTATATATTTATATACAGCATGTATGGAAAATATATCTTATCTTATCTTATTATTATTAATAATAACATTTATGCTGCTGCTACTATTATCGTCACGGTCCTCGTCATTATTATCACGTTAATCACTTCTGCAGTTCATATAGTTGGTATTCTACTGCGCCTGATCTAAAAAATAATATGAATCTAAATAACGTGCTACAAACTTAATTAAATCATTTTCGTTGAGGTGATATAATTAAATGTATGCTTTACGTGTCAGTGTTTGAGGGGCCAGCGGTG